CATATAGAAAAATAGCGATTTTAACGGATCGCCATTTTTCTATATGAATTGTTTATTAAAAGGGCGGGGTTTAGAGCTGAGGGGCGGAGCTTCTTCTTAACTTCTTCTTCGAAGTTTAATTTACCCATCCATCAAGTTAGAGGGGTGACTGCATTCAATTTCAATTTCATTCCAATTCATTTTCCACCGGTAAAACAAATCGCTCTTATCTATGGAATTTTAGGGTAAAAGAATCATTAAACCATTACATCATCTACTTCTGTCTATGGACCGAGAAATTGTAAGTACTGGTCCGTAAATATCTCAGGAAAAAAAGGGAAAGCTTTCTGAAAAATCTTGGAATATAGTTGATAGAAAGCCATACTACTAGGAGGGCCTGAGTTACTATTATAAATCAATTTTTGGTGGTCAATCAGGAGAGGAGGAGATCAAATCTGTTTAAAATTTTTGTGAGTCATTAATTGGCAGTCCCTCGGATTCCAACTGGCTAGTCTTAGGGAAATCGTCCTTTTTGGTTTATGGGATAGGCAGGCTTCAAGTCGCTTCATGCCACGTCAAGTGCAGTACTGCTTGTTCCTACTCCTCACCATTCATTTGCCACTTAGTTTACGTCGTCTTCGATCTGAGCTATCCTCACAGTTAGAATTAATTTAAATTGCATTGCCTACGTTTTCGAGTGAAAATCGTTTCCAAAAATAAAATTAACTAGAGGGAACCAAATGAAGTAAACATGCTTGGCTTGAAAGGGTTCCAGAAGAATATCGGTGAGGGCGAAGAACCGAGTAGAGAACGGAAAAGCTACTTCAAGTGGCTCAAGATATGAGAGCTGGCTGGGAGCCATGGTACTGAAGCTTCTTCAGACGAGATTAAGGGGACTGAAACCGTGGCCCGACGCTTATTGCATGATATGCTTTTCACCTGAATTAAGGAGATTCGCTCCCTTACGTAATACCCTCCCAAATAAGAGAGGATTTGTGGTTCAGAGAATGCCGGCTTGTCAAATTCACTACAGTATTATGACACAGTAGTACGAGAATAGTTGATTCAAAAAGACGAATCAAACTAACAATTGTTGGGTACCTGTCGATTTATCCAATTGTATCCTATGAACACAAAGAAGTAATTGAGTTAGCTAGTAATCGGAAAAGTAATCGAATGACACGTTCCACCACTCTATCAGAAAGTGAAGGTCGCTGGGATCGAGTTCTGAGGGAAGTGAAAGTGGACAGTACAGCGCCGTTCCGTGTACATCTTCACCGGAACCCTTCCCTCGTTTGATTTGCGTTATCTGAAGCAGCGTACCTCAAAATGGGATGGCCAAGGTACCAAAATAAAAGCCAAGGAATAGGTTGAGTCGTCTAGCTGGGAGCAGACCCGCACTGTGGGCGAATCAGGAATAAAACCACGCTTCTTTTTATTCTTTTTCACCCTTTTTTTCTTCTGAAATTCGGTTTAGCCCGGAGGTGTTCCCCAAAATCAAGGGAGATCGATCAACTGAGCCTGCTTGCGCTTACGAAACTTTAACCCTTTGCACTGTGATTGAATAAATAACTTTCTTATAACTAGTGAAAGGTATTCCTTTCGAGCCCTTCGAGGAACGGCCGGTAGTTGTTCTTTGTTCTGACTTTGATTTAGCCCAGCAGTGATCCAACAAAATCATGGGGAATCGATCCGCTTTGGGGGCCCGGAAAGTGTTGACGTGTGGGTTTGGAAACTGAGGTGGCCAGTGGTCGTTCTTTGTGGTGAACTTTGGTCGCGCACGGGGGTCTCCTGCCAAAATCTGGGAGAATCATAAGAAAAACAAGAGGGGTAAAAGAAGTGAAGCATTTTG